CCGGTGGTCCTCGGGCCCACCCTGGCGCTCCGGCCCCACCCGCGCGCGTGGCGGCCCCGCCTTGTGGCCGAGGTGGGGGCTCGGGTCTGCAGGCGCGCTCGCGGCCACGCCCCTCAGTTGGGCGGCCGGCGTTGCCCGGTGCGGGGATGGAGCGCTCCCGGGAGGAGGTGGTGTCTGAGAAGGGCTCCGACCCCCTTCCCCAACGGGGCACGCCCCCGCTTCCTTCAGGGCCCAAACATCACCTCAGAGAAGCTTTCCCACAGTACCTGTCCTACGTTTTGCAGTCCTTTACACCTTCTGATAAACTTTATTGTACATTTATTTTACTTGTTTCTTGTTTTCTCATTTGGAATGTAAGGTCAGGGCCTTTCTCTGGTTCACTCCTGGGCCTCACTGGTAAGTGCTTTGCACACAGTAGGTACTTCCTAAATTCTGCTGCATGAAAGAATGGGTGAAGGGTTCTGGTAGCAGGAAGTGTGGACAGATGGGTTCACCGAAGTGTGGGGGAGGGTGTCCAAGAGGAGGGGACATCTGAGCAAAGGGTGAGTGACAAAGGTTGAGAGTTAAGACTGTGCTGGGGATGGGGGAGAGTGGGGTGCATCCTTGTGCTGGAAGGCGTGGTGTCCCAGTTGGCTTCTCCAGACTTGTTGTGAGCGACTGGAGCCATCTACGGGGTTTTAATCTAATCAGATGTGCTCTTTAGATGAGGGTTGTGTGTGAGTTCAAGGGGAGGCCCAATGATGGGTATGGCATATGGGTCTGGTGGTGCTGGGGGCTAGGAGGGGAAGTGGTAGAGAGGGGGCACTGTCCCAGATGCCAGGCTGGGAAGTGAGATCAGAATGGTGGAACCAGTGGGCTCACTTTTTAGGAGGTGGGGAGAATGGCAACAGAAGATGGCCGCTCAAGTGGCCCCCAAGGTTGAGAGAGCCTAGGACATACAAATCAAACAGTGGGCACCTGCTGTATTCCAGGGACAGTACAGGGCATACCCGTAGGTGCTCACAGGCCACTGGGGCAGATGGACACATGGCACTCGGCCATCCACCTGTCTGCCTCCGGTCTTGGTGTGTGCCCTGGAGGGGCATGGGTTCTGAGCTCAGGGGAAAGTGTGGGTAGGCTTCAGTCCCTGGATGACATGTGTGCCAGTCCTTGGGTGCCCCTCAGGCAGAGAACTGTGCATATGAAGTCCCAGATGAGTGTTAAGGAACCTGGGGTCAGATCCTTGAACCCAGCCCATGACCCTGTCTGAAAGAGCAGAGTGAGCAGTAGCTGTAGGCCAGTGCCCAGATGCAGGTCTGTTGTCTTTATATCTGGGCCGGCCAGGTGGTCATAGGGAATTCTAGGGGCTGCATTTGGGTTCAGGGCTCCGTGCTGGCCTCCTGCTCTCCTGAAGGCATAGAGGAGCCAGGCTCCTTGTTTGGATGGGGGTGAGCCTGGAACTGGCCAAATCCTGGAAGGAGGGCTCTTCTAGCAAAACTGATCCTCTGGGCCATGGGGGGAGGCATGGAGGGGGAAACACAGAATGACAGAATTCTTGGAGAGGTACACTATTGGAAGTGCAGGTAGCTTCCGGAGCTTGACAGGGCCTCCTTGGCAAGAGCCATCCCAACTAGTATGGGGCTGCCCTGCTGGACACTTTGAATCTGAGGTCAAACCCTAGCAGCTTTCTTAAGGGGAGGAGGTTTTGAGTGTGTTTCCAGCAAGTCTCTGTGCCCATCTGCACACAGGGGGATAGATCAGAGTTGTCAAGCATGAGAAGGCACTATGCCATCAAGTCATGGCCGTGACCTCCCCTGGGAGTCGGATTTGGTTGCCTGTAGAGTCCTACCAGAGCCTGGGCCAGGGACGGCTGTGAAAGTCTCAGGTGACTGGAGTGTGCTCCATGTGATTTGGGGAGCAATGGGAGTCCTCAACTAGTATCTCAGATTCAACTGGGAACTCCAGATGCAATGAGAAGCTCCCCTGGGGAGTGTTTCAGGGTTGATCCTGCTCTTGTCCTGCCGGCTTGGGCAGGAACTTCCAAGTGTGAGACAGAGGGTCCCATAGCCCCCAGAGAGTCTGCTCTAAAGTCCTCCCCAACTCCTCTACCCCTCATCCCATGGCACTTGGTGGGAGGGACCCCTACCTTCTTTTTGAGCCATGCCTGAGCTTTCCGTGGTCAGAGTTGAGACTTACCTACTGCAGCCAGACCTGCCACATGGCTTTTCCCCGTTCTCTTCTTTGCTGTGGCCACTCACCCGCTGGCCCTGGAGTGCCCTTGGCCTCTGGTGTAACTTTGCACATACTTGCAGGCCCAGCTGAGATGATGATTCCTCCTCCCAGAAACCTTTCCTGACCGCCTGCCCTCCTGACTTCCAGTACAAGCTTCCTGCTCAGAACCCCAGAGAATCCCAGTTTTTTTCCACTGACAGGTTGCTTTTCCCTGTCAGCACACCTGCCAATCGTGGTTGAGAGGTTGCTTCCCTTCCTGCCTCTGCTGGCACCTTGGAGCCCAGGGACCAGTTAAGTTTGTACCTCCAGGGCCATGTGGCCACCCTGTGCTTGGTGCTGGGTGACATGGTGCCTAAGGAAAAAAAGGGGGATTTACTCTAAATTAGTCCAGTGTGCTGTCCTGCTTTGCAAGGAGGCTCTCAGTGTTTGAGGAAAGGAGATGTGGGTGGGGAGGGGGACAGAATTCTGCGTAGGATGAAGAAACTCCTTTAATTTTTTAATTGAGTGGCTCCCAGGGAGCTGCTGTCCAGAGGGCCTTTGCCAGCAAGGAAATGCAGATGGGCTGCCCTGGGTGTGAACCTGTTGGGTCATGGGTCATACCAGAGTCAGCTTTTCGGGAGAGAAAGTAACCTGAAGAATCAAGTTCAGGATCAAAGCCTGTCCCCACCCTGACGTGAACCTTGTGCTCCCAGGGAAGAGGAGTCAGGCTGACCCCGGTGGATGGGTAAGGGTGGGTCTGTGGGAGGCGGGCTGGCCGCTGAGTGCCCCTTTGCCCTCCCCGGCCCTCTTCCAGGCTTGGTCCTGACTCCACATAGCTCTCTTTCTCTCCGTCTCTGTGTGTACTTACCCCCCCGACCCTTCCAGCCAGGGTGAGTGGGTTGCCCTTGCTGACTGCCAGCCAGTGGGCTCGGTGCCTGGCCCAACCTGGAGGCTGAGGGTGAGGAAGCAGGAGGTCCTTGGCTGGTTCTTGCCAGGAGCTTAGCAGCGTGGCCCCATCTAGAAGCGGCATCACATTCTAGTGCAGGGACCTTGTCCTTGTCTGTGCCACGGACCCCATATGTATCGGTGAGTCCTGTGCCCCCTTCTCAACGTGATGTTTTTAAATGCATAAAATGGAACACAGAGGATTGCAGGGAAAACCAACTGTATTAAAATACAGTTATCAAAATGTTAATTTACAGTATAGTAATAGATGCTTCTTTATTAACCCATTAAGTAATAAAAGCAGCAGGCCCAATAACCACCTTAATTTTGAAGCAGTGGTGAACAAGAGTGGCATTCTGAGTTGCCGTGATGTCAGTAATGTGATAGGAAAATGCCTGTGATTGTTGTTGCTGACAGATTCGTACGTTGCTGATACCGCTGTGGTTAGTTGCTGACATTAATAATTGAAGAAAAGGCGAATTGGGATGAGAGGTTAAAGCCCATAAAGATGCCATTTTGTCCCATCCAAGTAGATGGGGTTCCTCAGTTCTGTGTGCGAATCCCCACAGGCCTTGGGTGCGAGTTGTGCACGTGGCCACGAGGCGAGGAGGGGCTGCTCAGCACCGGTCCGGGGGGACAGGAACGGGTCGCAGGGGCCGCGGCATCACGCTTCCCTTGAGGCTAGCCCCACTCCCGGTCACTGGCTGCTTCCTGGGCCCTGGCGGTTGGTCGGGCCGTGCTGGCCCGTAGGGGCTGGAGCTTTTGCTCCGGGTCTCTCTGGTGCCCAGGGCCAGTCTGCCGGCCCCTGCTGTCTTCCTCGACCATTGCCTTATTTACGCTGGCGCATGGGGATAACCTGGCTTTTGCCTTCTAAATTCGGGATGCCAGTGATAGTGCCGGTGGGAAGCAGATAGAGGTGTTCTTTTGGTGCTGCTTTTGCTGAGCTTGCGGGAAGTCACCTGCACTGGCTCTGGGCCCGATCTCTCACGGGGTTTGGTTTATGCCAGGAGAAATCAAAAGGCGCGTTTATCTATGAACCTTGATTCTGGGGGTGCCCTGCCGTAAGGAGTGGCTGCAGTTCATCGGCCCGCCTGGCCTGCCCTTCTCTGTTGTGGCTGAGCCCCACCGGGGCCCAGGCGGTGTTGCAGATTTTCTTCACGGTAGCAGCTGATGCTCCCAGAGAGGATTCTTAGCAAGTTTCCTGTCTTGACCTGGGCTGCCTGGCCCTTGGGCCAGAAGGTCCCAGTCCAGGTGCCCCGAGGAATGGAGGCCTCTCAGAAGGTTCTGGACAAGAGGAAGGCCAGCCCTTCTGAGAGCCTTCCTGGTGGGGGCATGGTGGCAGGCCAGCGGGAGCTGGTGTCTGGTGTGTTTAAGGAGAGACGGCCAGGGAGAGGGGTGAGGAGTGGTGGGGGACGAGGTGGGCAGGGCTAGGGGGTGGGTGCTGGCTGGAATCGGGCACTTCTAGCCAGTTGTGCTATGGAGTCTGTGTGCGTCTGGCACCTTTGGCCGGTGCCACCTGCCCTGGTGCCTCGGTGGTGGCCCCTCTCCGCCCCCGGGGAGTGTGCGGAGACAAGGTTCTCCTCTGGGCCACGCCCTCCACGGGCTTTGCTGAGTGAGGGGGGCCGCGGGGATGCTGGTGGCTACACTTTCAGTTCCTGACCACGCGGCCAGCTGGGATGCAGGCATGTTTACGAGCTGCCACCTCTGCCCTTTGATCCTTGTGGCTGAGCATAGCAGAAAAGCGGCCCGGCCTCGAGGAGGTCCTGGCCCCTGTCCAGCCGCTCCGGGAGGGTGGGCGGCAGCCCATGCCCAGGGACCGGGGTGTTCTCGTCCTGCGGACATATGTGGGGTGTGCATGACCCCTCCACCCTTTCTGGCCATGCTGGGCTCCAGGGTTCTGCTTCCTGCCGCACTGGAGCTGATGTGGCAATTTCTGGTCTGCACAGCTGTGTGGGCGTCCCCACGCTGTGACAGTTGTTCAGTCAGCACATATTTATTGAGTGCTTGCCATGTGCCAAGCAGGGTGCTGTAGGCACTAGGGCAGCAGTGACCAGGGCAGACCCAGATCTGTGCCTGTGGGATTTACGTTCTTGCGCGCGGAGGCAGCCCCTCCAGTGAGCACCAGTCAACACAGGCTGCATTTATGTTAGAAGGTGTTTGTGTCACTTCAGCCAGGGACCTGGCAGAGCCTCACTCGAAGGACTGATGAGAGCTTAATGCAGGGTCAGTTTACAGTGCTGTGGGCAGGTTCAGGGGACCTGGGAGAGAAGAGGCGGGAAGCTGGCCGGGAGCCAGCAAAGGTGGTGCTGGGACAAAGGAGGCCTGGGAGCTGTGGCCCTGCGGGGAGGGACCCCCAGCCGGCAGGTTCCAGGTTCCACCAGGGAGGGAGCAGGGAATGGATTCTCTGTCCTCCCTCCACCCTCTGGTCTCCTGCCCTGCCTCCCAGTGGCTCAATCCACCTGGAGCCTTATTGAAGTCCTGGGAGGCGGGCGTGCAGAGCAGGGAGAGTGGATCTGGAGGGTACAAGTGCTAAGCAGGGAGCCAGGCAAGTTTAAAGTTTAAAGGAAGGCCAGGGAAGACCGTCCTGAGAAGGTGGGATTAGAGCCAAGGTGTGCCAGAGGTGTCACCTGCTCGCGTGTCCCTGCCTCTGCCCGTGGCCAGGTGAATGTGGGCGGGGCCGTCTGCCCGGCTCGCAGGCGGTGCCTGGCAGCCTCTCTCTCGAACCAGCTCTGGGCCGTGCCTGCCCTCCCGGGCCTGCCCGCGCACCTTCTGCCCCCTGGCTGGAGAGCCTGCAGGGCCTCCCTCAGGCACGCACCACAGGGCCCTGCCTGACTCCTCCTCCACCCCCCGGGCCTGGCCCCCAGCACACTTCCCGGAACTTGACCTCCATCCTCCGCTGAGGCCTTCATTCAGGAAGGAGGCAAGGTCCCTGCCCTCCTAGAGCTTACATTTTACTTGGGGAGACCAGGAGCAGGTAAATAAATGACGTTATGCAGTGCTGTGTGCTCTAGAGAGGGGTGAAGAGAATAGGGGAGAAGGTTTGGATGGAGTACTGGTAAGCTTCTGGGAAGAGCAGCCATTTCTGCAGAGGCCTAGATAAAGTGAGAGAACACGAGCCATCTGGGCACCTGCGGCGTGTTCTTGGTGTTTGGGGAAGAGCTGGGATGCTCCTGCAGGCAAAGTGGGGGTTGGATCCCCCCAGTGCCTGGTAGCTCTCTTCCAAGTGCACTTGATAGCTGAGGCAGGGTGGGCAGGGGAGGGCCTGCTCAGATTTGCATTGCAAAGGGTCCTTCTGGGTGGGTGCAGAAGAGGCTGTGGGGGAAGCTGGGACCAAAGAGAGCCTGGAGAGGTCCCTGTGGTTGTCCAGGCAGGAGATGGGGGTCCCCCAGCTGGAGGAGGAGCTAAGGAGAGAGGGAGCCTGAGCATGGTTGGGGGCGGTGGAAAGAGTGGTCCCCAGGGTCCTGAGTGCCCGGAGGCTGGGTAAGGACTGGGAAGCCAGTGCTGATTGGGAGTGCGGGTCACTGTGGCCTGGCAGGGGCTACAGTGCAGGGAGGGGTGGGCCGAGGCCCAAGGTGGGGATTGAGGAGCGCATGGGCCGCTGGGACACTAGAACAGGGAGCCTGAGTGACTCTGCAGAGATTATTTCCTTCAAAGGGGAGAGAGAAATCAACCGCTGGAGGTGAGTGGCAGTCAAGGGAAGTGTTTTTATCTATTATGAAGGTGAAGTTCCTGTACATTGGATGCAAAGCGTGATCCTGGGAGGGAAACGTGATGCTGGAGCAACCTGGGAATAGACATGGGATGCAGGGTCCAGAGGCAGGTGGGCTTTGGGGGGTGGGTGCTGGGAGGGTAAGCTGTTTTCTCAGCGTAAATGGGAGTGCGGTGGGGAGAGACACCCGCCTGCTCTCCGGTGACGTCTGTCCTCCAGGACAGCACCCTAGGGCTGCCACTGCCCAGTCCATCTCACCCTGGTCCCCTCAGCACAGACCCGCTTTGGGCCCTGGTACTGGGTGTCCTGTGTATGTGCACTGGGGACAGGTGGGTGTCCCAGCCTGGGCTGCTGGGTCTGTGACTTGCAGAGAAGACAACATCATGCAGGCACGAGGGCAGCGATGCAGTGTTGTCTGGGCCAGATCATAGATCCTTCTCGCGTGGATGGTCAGCTCCTTGAGGGTAGGCATTGAGTGCGTCTGCAAACCATTGCAGGCTTTCCTTTCCCTCCAGGGGCTGGTGAAGCAGATGCAGCTTTCCGTCATCCCCACTCCAGGTCCAGGGCTCAGGGACAGCAGGGGAGGGTGGGGTCGACGAGGCCCCGTGGTCCTCGGCAGCCCAGGGAGGGGCTGTTTCTGGGTCCCCCAGCAGGCTCGGCCCTCCGGTGAGCTCAGGCCGCGGGTGGTGGGTGGGCTCGGTGATGCTAACAAGCCCGTGTGATGACATGTGCTTGTGTCTTTGCAGACCTTCGTTCTGGCTGGGGAATGAGACCCTGAAGGTGCCCCTGGCGCTCTTCGCTCTGAACAGACAGCGCCTGTGTGAGCGGCTGCACAAGAACCCGGCCGTGCAGGCCGGCAGTGTCGTGCTGCTGCAGGGAGGGGAGGACACGCAGCGCTACTGCACTGACACCGGCGTCCTCTTCCGCCAGGTGAGCCCGCCCTGCTGCCTTCCTGCGCCTTCAGCTGTGCACCAGGCCTCCGGTGGGCCGCCCGCCCTCCCCTGGCGTCGGGCCTGGTGGGCCTTGGGGAGTAAAGGGGCCCCGGAAGAGGCTCTCAGAGGGCGGGCTGAGGCCTGGGCACCCAAGGAGCCCCGATTCTGGAGGGGTAGAGCTGATGCCAGCCAGTCTCCGCTCTTAGGTCAGAATACAGAAAAATGACATTCCTGGGGGAGCAGGCAGGCAGGGAGGCTTCATGGAAGAGGCGGTATTTGGTGTGGGCCCTGAAGGCCAGGGTGAATTCTGACAAGTACAGGTGGGAGTGGGTGTTCCAGGCTGGGGAGGAGGGTGTGTGTCCACAGGAGTGAGTGGTAAGGGGGTGAGCTGGGCAGAGGTGCAGATGGGGAGGCCTGACTTCTGGGGGCCAGATTCTGCCTGCACAGGGAAGATACGGGCTGCCGAGGACTGGAGAGGAGGCATGGGAACAGGGTCCTGGGCAGGAGTGGGAGGCCCAGACATTCATCCTGGCTTGGCCACTGCTGACTCTGTGACCCTCCCTGGGCTTCGGTGTCCTGGCCTGGGAAGTAGACTACGGACGCCTTGAGGTTCTGGGATCCTGCGTGGCGGAGGGTGGCGTAGCAGCAGGAAGCCAGCCCGGATGTGGTGGCCTTAGCTGAGAATCACTGGCATCACTGTTTCCAGGAGCAGGAGCAAGGACCCTCAACAGAGGGGCTCCCCCAGAAAGCTGGAGAGGCCCTGAGCTGGCCCCACTCTCATCGATCTCAGCTTTGCACCCACTTTACAGATGATAAAACAGAGCCTCAGAGAGGAACCAACTTGCCAGAGGGGGAGCCGGGATTAATTAGAAGCCCATCTCTGGACTCTAAGGATAGGGCTGTCTTCTCCCTGCCATGCCCAGAGCTGGTGCCTGACACCTTGGGACCTCTAGAACCTCCCTGGGGGCAGGCAGAGCCTCGGGGACATGGCCATCCGGCATCCGGGCCAGGAGGAGGCAGGGAAACGTGAAGGAGACCTGAGTGTGGAGGGGCGGCTGGACGTGGCCTCCCCAGCTGGGCTGTGTCCCCTCCACAGGACACAGATGGGCTGTCAGCTGCTGAGAGCAATTGCACTGTTTTTGCTGAAAGTGGCTCCTGCTGGAAACTGTCCCCGTGCCACGTTCTTGCAGCTGCAAGCTTGCAGTCCCCTGGTTTCTAGAGACATGGAGGTCTCAAGTTTTTTCTGACTAGTCTCGATGCTTCTTGAGGTTTGCGTATTCTGTGGTTTAAAAACCGATCTCCTAAATTCAGCCTTTGGCTCCCTTTCTGCTGTTATGCAAGGTTAATTTTAGAAGAGATCCTCCTCCACTTCATACCTTTATAACATTATTTGAGCTCAGTGTTTATTGCTAAACACTGAAGTCATCAGCTGCCCAGGGGGTGAGAGAAGGAAGTAAGTCCTAAATGGAGGAATCCATTTCCGTGCGGATGTCTGGCCTGGGTGTCTAAGTCAGGGTGGCATGTTGCCCACCTTCGGGCATGGGGGCAGCAGAGAGGCGTGGGTAGGGCTGTGCCAGGCCTGTGGTGCACGTGGGCACCCGTGTCCTAATGTGCCCTGGGGTGCCCGGCCAGGGGCTAAGGGGTGTGGCCAGAGAGGGGGTAGTGGCGGGGAGGGGGGCTCGGGCACACGCATGAACCGTGCATCCTCAGAGGAGGCTCAGAGCAGGGTGGGAGGAGCCAGCTGGGCTGCCCCCTGCCAAATCCCGGAAGGGGGTGCTGGGCAGCCTGCTGCTGGCAAGGTGGGGGGCAGAGTGCACGGGTGGGGAACTATATGAGGCTGGGGGGCAGGCTCCGAGAGCTGGGGGGCCCTGAGCAGACTCTCTCAGGTGCTCGGTCTGATGCCCCACCTCTCTCCTTGGGCCTCACGTTTTTGTCCTGCTGACCTGGTGACCAAGGTCCTTGTTTCCATCCCAGGAGTCTTTCTTTCACTGGGCATTCGGCGTCACCGACCCAGGCTGCTACGGCACGATTGAGGTCAGCACTGGGAAGTCCACCCTGTTTGTGCCCAGGCTTCCTGCCAGCTATGCCACCTGGATGGGAAAGTAAGGAGCCGTCCGGGCCCTGTGACTGGGCCTGCTGCCCACTGCGCTCGGGGTGGGGGGCAGGGCCTGGCTTGCAGTGGCAAGGAGGGAAGGAGCAGTGGGGTTGGGGTGGTGTCAGTGGTCGGGTCCATTGACAGCCTGCTCGGGGCCGGAGCCTTGCCTCCTTGGTTGGGAAGGGGCGTCAGAGCCACGGCCACAGACTACGGTCATGTCTGTGTGGACGTACTGTTTATTAATCTTGAAATTCTGGATTCCCATTTTTGTTAAAATGCCGGAGGCTTTGACCCCAATGGGCCATCACTTGTGGGAGGCATCAGTGGGAGGTGGCCCCACTTTGGGTGTCGTGGGGGTTGGCTCTGGACCCTTCTCCGAGGCCCACCCCTCGTGGGGCATTGCTGGATGCTGCCGTGTGCCTGTCTCTGGCTCTGAGGGAGGCCCTGCCTCAGTCGGCTCACCTGTGAGACCCGGCGGGGACTCTAGGCTTGTACCGTGTGAGGAGTGTGGCAGTGGGGCCTGGGCTGTGTTCGGAGGCCTCCTCCCCATCGTCCGTGGCACCTTCCAGCTCCAGGGTGCTTGGCCGTGCCTACCCCCCGTGGGAGCCATCCTGCCTCTCCAAGGTACCGACGCAGAAGCCGTACTTAAGCATGGGTGCTCAAGGCACTCAGGGCATCCCGCTAAATGCTCATCACCTTCAGCGTGTCATTTCTGCCTGGAGAGTGATTCCTCCGGGCTAATGTCTAAATTGTAGCCCTTGCTGCCTGGTGTCCCCGAAGGCTCATTACCAGGTGGGCTGGCGGGCCTGTGGCTCCGTGCAGAGGGCCGGGACAGGGCCTCTCCCACCAGCCCTTCAGTGCAAACTCTAGAGTCTCCTTTGTTGGAGACTTCTGTCATCCTGGGGAAGGGGTTCAGGCTCACAAGTTGGTAACAGTTCTGCTTTGAAGCCTCCTGGCCCGTGAAGACGGCTTGAAGCAGAACTGACAGCAGAAGAGAAGTGCGCTGGGCTTCCCTGGCAGCGTGTTTTCCCGCTTGGCCCTGGGGCGGGAGGGTGGGAAGTGGGCGTGCCCGATCCAGTTGGCCTTTGGAGGGCATGGCTGGGCACCTAGGTCCTGGCCCTCTCAGAGGCCCTGGGGCAGATGGCCTGAACGGGTCCCTGCTGTGATGAGCAGGTTCCCACTGGCCTCCAAGCCTGGGTTAGGGTGAACACGGGAAGGTTGTGCTGCTTTTTCCCCGAGGGACAGGGCGGTGCATTGGGCAAGGTGAGCCAGGCCCAGTGAGAGCCCCCGGAGCTCCACACCGCCCAGCCCTAGGAGGAAGTGAGAAGGGGGCTGCAGAAGGGGAGGCCGGCCACGGTAGATGTCTTGCTCTGTCCCTTGGACCTCCCTGCCTGCTGTGCCACGGTGTCTTCTACCTGCAGAGACACTGGCCGCCGGTTTGGCCTGGGGCAGGCCCTCCTCCGTCCGATCTTCCGGGACCCCTCCTTCTGCTAGATCAGCAGGGCCAGGCCTGAAGACATGGGTGCTCATGGGAGGGTGGTTCCGCCTCACCCAACTCTTGCCTCCCCATCCTGTTGTAGCCCTGATAGTCGGCCTTTAGCATATTCCTGGTCGGATCCTTACGACTGTCCTGCTTTAAAGAGGCACGGGTTCTGGGTGGTGGCGTGGCCTGTGCAGGCCGCCTGGGTCAGTCTTGCTGGAAGCTGGCTGGATGGCGGGGATGGCCTCTTCACAGAGCAGGTCTTGTCACTATCGGGGCCTCTGATTCCTTATTGTGGGACGGTGACAAGGCTGCTTGTGAGGCACCGCCGGGGCTGTCGTCATGGCGATGGGCACTGTGCGGATGGCTACCTTTTGTGACAATGAAATGCGGTGGTAAAGATGCCAGGGACAGGCAGCTTGTGATGTCTAGAAGTGGCCCCAGGAATATTTGTGGCCATTCCCGATGGAGAGGTGGGCTCCCCGCCCTCCCGCTCCTCCAGGTCGAGACCTGGTGACTGCCTTGATGCGTGAAGCTGGCAGGGTCATCCTGTGGCTAGACTCCTGGTTCTTGCTCATGGGACACCTGCCCTTGAACCCTGCTGCCATGCTGCAAGGAAGCCCACACTCACCTGTGTCGAGGGACCTCATGGACGGGAGCGGGGGTGGGGGGGCTCCAGCTGACAGCCAGACCACCTGCCAGAGTGGGTGACTCCAAACCCCAGCCTTTGAGTCCTCCTGCTGAGGTCCCAAACCTCGTGGAGCAGACATACGCTGTCCTCTCTGGGCTCTGTCCCAAGCCCGGACCTTCAGAGTCCGTGAACATGAAAAATGTCAGTATGGTTTGCTACAAAGCCCTGGTAACTGGTACAGCTATGCTGAGGAGTTTCCTGGTGAGAGTGTAGGTCAGGTCTTGGTAAGAGGATTCTTCCAGAACCTTTCCTGCACGTGAGGTGATCACGGAGCTGTGGCCTCTGCCCTGCCTGCTAGTGGCACGTCCCAGAAATAGCTGGGGCCCCAGTGCCTGGGCAGCGCCCGTGGTTTTGACCTGGCTGCCCTCTGAGCTGCCCCGGGACCCTGCCTGCTGGCTCTGGGAGTGCCAGTCCCGCGGGCGGAGGGGCTCCACCGTGAGATGTGGGCGTGGATGGGGGGCTAGGGGAGGGTTTGAGCAGGGCCTCACTGGACTTTCCGTCTGCTGCTTTGTCTTGCGTCAAGTCGGGGAGTGCCTGTCCTGGAGGGTGGACATCCTCCAGGGCTGTGGGCGGAGAGGCCTGTCCCTGCCTTGGGGACTCCACCATCCAGTGGGAAAATCTGAGCAAATCTCATCATGTTTCCCCACAGCCACCATCTGGGGAGCCAAATGGCACTTGACTGGAGGGTTTAAAACCCAGGACCTGATTGGTCAGGGAACAGCTGTTAGCAGTTGGCTATTCTGAAGTGTAATCCTCAGTAATACAGGAATAATGTTCTGTGCTTTGGCCATGGCTGGTTTTCAGGGCTGCTGTTAAAGTTCTCCTTTAGGGGTGTCTGGGTGGCTCATTCAGTTGAGCATCTGACTCCTGGTTTCAGTTCAGGTCATGATTTCAGGGTTGTAAGATTGAACCCCGAGTCAGGCTCCATGCTCAGCGGGCAGTCTGCTTGAGATTCTCCCTCTCCCTCTCCCCCTCCCCCTGCTCGTGCACATACATACTCTCTCTTTCTCTCTAAAATAAATAAATAAATCTTTTTTTTTAAGATTTTTTATTTATTTATTTGACAGAGAGAGACACAGTGAGAG